TTTCATATTATTGCTCAATTAAACACAAAAACCATTGATACTTTTGTTAAGATTTGAAATATAGATAACTTAAAAATATAAAATATTACAATTCATTAATAAAATAATGTTCGCTCTTCAGAGTTGCATTGCAATATTTTGGTTTAAAAAATTGATTTATAATAATATAAAAAACATAAATGATGAAATCTTATTAAAATAAATACTTACTGTATATTAAAGTAATTTTATAATAAATAGTTTAAAATCCCAAAATCCCGTCCAGACCAAAGAGAAATTTATCGGAAACCTGTATTTCCGAAATTGTCAGCGTCAATGTCAAAAACATGTTTCTGACATATTTTTTGTTCTGGACCAGGCCAATGCTTAATTATTTTATGTGCGAATACCCGATTTTATCATAAGCTTGTAACTAATAAACTTAATACGTGTACTAATATTAATATTATTTGTTGATAAACTCAAAATAACTATACATGTATTATAATTTATGGTTTTAAATGTTCGAAATGTACGTCTAATTTTTAAAGTTTTTTAGCGTGCTTGAAATGAACAATATTTATGAAAAACGCGGCCTTACCATTTAATATAATATCGTAATTATTAATGAATATATTTGACGTAGATGTAAGTCTGTGTTAGTCCAAATATGAAATGTGCTCCAGATAATAATTTTTAGAACTACAAAACCACACGACTACTAAGCAATAATCATGWATATATAGGTGCTGAGTAGACTGTTAGACTCCAGTGTGCGTGAAAGCAGTAAAGCACGTTTGCCCCGATCTATAATATCTAGAACTGGGGTATAAAGGGCGCCAAGCAAGCTCTAAACATTCTCGCTACAAGTATTGCCAACATAAAAAATAATGTTTACCAGATAAAAGTATTGTACTGGTCTGGACATTTTTAACGTACATTACACGCTGGATTAAAAACAGTACACCGCTTAACTTTTTAATTTTATGTTACTTATATTTTCTAGATGTGTTTAAATCGTAATAACATTTTTAATAATTTAACAAGCTTAAATTAAATAATTTCCTAAAAGTGATGAATAATGTCAAATGTTATTAAATAGGTATATGAAATAATTATTAGGTATTCATTCTTAAAAATATATATGTTTTTATAAATAATTTTAATAATATGTTAAGCATTGAATTATTATATATTATGTAACTTGTTATAAGACAAATTTCACCAATAATCACTAAATATATATTAAAAAATGTCTATTTAGATCAAAATGCCTTCTGAAGTGGTACAAAAAGAAGCTGAGGTTGGTGTCGAAGAGAAAACTATTATTGGAAAAATAGAGACAAAAGAAAATGGTTCTCAAAAATCCAAAACAGAAGAAATTCAAACAGTTGAAAATCCAGAAGAATCTAAAATCACTGAAGAAGAATTATCTGAAAGTGAAAACAAAGAAAACGAGGAACCTACTGTTGAAGATATTGAGTTGCAAAAAAAACGTGCCGATCAACTTTTAACTGATGGTAAACGTCATTTAATTATTAAAGACTTTCAAGTAGCTGTTGATGTTTTAAGTGAAGCGTGCAGTCTTTTTGGAACTATCTATAGTGAATTGGATGAAAAATGTGCAGAGGCCTATTTCAACTATGGTTGTGCCCTTCTTGAGCTTAGTAAAAATCAAACAAGTCCTGTCGGACTAGAAGAAAAAGACGAAGAAGAAAATGACGGAGAGACTTCCTCTGAAGAAATAGATTCAAGTAATATGACAAATGATGATAGTAAAAAATACTCTATATCTAWTGTCACTGACGAAGTTGAAGAAAAAGAAACAGGCAATGTTGATGACACTGAAAAAGAAGAAGAATCAACYGAAAACAAAAAAAATCTACCAGATAAAACATCAGTTGTTAAAAAAGATRATGAAGTTGAAGGACAATCCACTGAAAAAGATTTGTCTGTTGATGATCTTGAAGGACAATCCTCTGAAAAAGAAGAGATGGCTGTTGATGGTGCTGAAAAGCCAGATGAAGATGTTGGTGAAGATGATGTAAATGATTTACAAATAGCTTGGGAAATGCTTGACTTGGCCAAAGTGATTTATAAAAACAAAGATACTGAAGAATCAAAACTCAAACTTGCTGAAGTATTAATGAAATGTGGAGAAGTAAGCATTGAAGATGAAAAATTTGAAACAGCTATTCAAGATATGACAGAATCCTTGGAAATCCGAAGGTAAGTTATTGTTTTTAAAAATTACAAGAAAAATAAAATAATAAGTTATATTTTTGTAGGTTATTATTACCAGAGGACAGTCGTATCATTGCTGAAACTTTATTTCAATTAGGCATAGCGCAGGAGTTAGGAGGAAGCGGTGAGCAAGCAATTGAGTTGCTAACAGAAGCAGCTGCTGTTTTGAATCAAAAAATTAAATCTTTGGAGAGTATGAATGATGACAGTGAAATAATCCAAGCAGAAATTGYTGAAGTTAAATCTATTATTCCTGAGATACAAGAAAAGATTTTAGATATCAAAGAACGTAAAAAGGCTGCTGTAAGTGCTTTGTTGGCAGCTGTAGGTGCTTCTTGTAACGTACCTACAACAAATGGTGAAGCATCATCAACAATCAAACAGGCATCCAACATTAGCCATTTGGTACGTAAAAGACCTAAACAGGAGGAAACTGCAGATGCAGCTCCGAACAAGGTTCCTAAACTTGATGAATCCTCAAATGCCAAACAATAATTTGGAACCTATACATTTATTTAATTTATTTTTATTTTCCTCCAGTTTTAATCATTGGTTTAATTTTTATTTTTTAACATTCAAAATTAAGTACCTTTGTATTTTAATTAATTAAGTGAATTATTTTTGTATTTTTTTTTCTTTAAATTAAGGTTATCATAACATGCAAATAAAAATCAAGACTGTCTTATTTATTTTTGTAACACTATTTAAAAATTATGATCCTGCTCTATTCTATTTCCATAAATCTACAAAATGATTAATATGTTGTGGTTTTACCAGTATTTCGGACCTCATATCCACAAACGTTTAGTTTCACACCACACCAATATTGTCTAAATCTCAATTCATTAGTTCTGCTTCTTATCTATTATGCATAAYATTCACTACTATGTTTACAATTACCACACTGACTTGATTTAACTGTTTCAACTTAATTTTGATCCAATTTTAATTTCTCTATTCATCAATACCTAAACGACGCTTTTATTGGATAATAATTTAAAAGCACTATTAACATGAGTATGTTATACATTTATATTTGATAAAAAGATTATTTGAATGTTAGGATGATTATGGTATTAAAATATTGCGCTTTTAAAAATATCAAGTACTCTGGTACTCATGTTTGTTATACAAATCGGGTAAATGGCATTATAGTATATGTTACAAGTTTAAAATTGAAGTTACTCAGGTAACATTTGTTAGCAAATAATAACAGGTTATGTGATATTTGGATTGAAAAAATGTTTGTCCAGATACTTGCATAATATTGATTGTAAATACTAAAATAGTTTTGTGATCTTTATAATTTCAACCTGTAATTTTTGATATTCGTTGGAATTCCTTATTTATGAATATGGCTCTCTTACATTTACCAATTATTAGTGATTACTACACAATATTGAGACGGTAATCGTAATACTGTATATTACATTGCCTATCCATAACTTAAAAGGGTTTTATTTTTTAGGCGCAATACAAGACAATTAATTTAATATAGATTTTAATAGATAAAAATTTTATATTTTTATTAATTTTATTATTATTTTATGAATTTTATTATTTTCAAAGGCATTGCAAACAATGTTTCATTAGGRTAACTATTTTTAATTAATTATTTATTTTAATAACTATTTACATTTTACTATATATTTACTATATACTTATATAGTATATATAGTATATATACTTTGACTATATCTATTAGGTTAGTTGGCGCCAAAATGGCTAGAGCCAAAATGCATACTGCATACCGCCAAAACGTCCTAGACCGAGGTCTGGTATATAGCTCTGGAGATCAGTGGCATATATAGGATTTTTTTAGGAGGGGGATGTCAACATTTTTTTAGTGTTGATGCAACCTTTTGTTAATTACTCCGTGTAAGGCTAACAATAAAAAAAATAATATTGATTTTAATTTTACTCTGTTTTATTTATTAATTTATAAAATAAATTCTAGTTTTCTGTTTTTTAAGCACAGCTCTTCAATTACTTCATCTGTTGTAATATCGACACCTCTCTGTGACAAGAAAGCATAGCCAAGTTAGCCAACCTATTAAGTTTAGTCTATAATCACAAAACACATACATTTTTAAACAGTTAGTATAAATATTTTTATTGAAAATTGAACGATGTAATTACAAACTATTTACCTCTTTCATACTATTCCTGAAGTAAGACTATTCTTTTTAAACAAAAAAATGAACGCTAAGGAGTAGCTGTTGACATTGGAAGAGTGAGGAAGATTTTTAGTAGCTTGTTTATATTTGTATAGAACTCTTCATCACAAATCTCAAGTGCCTGTAGGCCTGACTCGAGAACAATGTGTTCTGTAACTAACTTAGTTCTCCACATATTTAATTCAGCCAAACTAGAGCAAGGGTCTATTACAGGTGAATAAAAGTCTACAAGTCTAGTAAATTCTTCTCTATCCTTCAATTTAATTGGAAATGCTTCTGTTTTAAAAATACATTCAAACCCTAAAACAGTAAATATTGTATAAATTAAATCAGCACATATGTACCTAGTTTAAAATAATACATCTGAATTAATCTTAATTTAGATTATTTCATTATTTAACATTTTAATGTTTTATTATATTTATAGAGTTAAAGTAGGTACTTGGTATACAACCAAAAATATGAATACCTTCAAAAATATTTTTATGGTTTATAAATTGTTCAGTAAGTTGGGAAATAAAATAACATAATGCTATAATAAGAACACTGAAATGTAATACTATTGTTCAATTGAGTCTTCTTGAATAATTCTATTAGCTCTTTGAGTTTGTTTTGTTCTTTTTTTTTTGCAATTCAATACCTACACTGTCTGATATTTTCTCAAAAATATGATACTTTAATTACAGTATTGAATAATTTATTGACATTGAATTGTTCAAGTGTTTATCGATAATTTATAAAATTTACCTAATTGATTTTTAATACTATAATATAACTATTTACTAATTTACTTTAACGTTATTGTAGACTATGCTACATTCTACTTCATTATTTTATTTATTATTTTGTAAATAGCAACAGTACTGCAGCTTAAATTTTATACCTAAACTAAAAAAAAAAGGCAAATTAGGGGATCTATCCCCCATATTCTTCCCCCCCCATAAATACGTCACTGCTGGATATTATATATTACTTCCTCAGATATTCTTATTGTTCTTTTTTGCAACAAATTGTAAAAAAAAATTCGTGATTTTTACGTATTTTGTCAATATTTAAACTTTAAATGTTAATTCATAAAAAATTTGACTGTTTTTAATTTTTTTTTAACTATTATTGTAATAATATATTATGAGCCTTGTATTAAATTTTGAAGCTTTTTACCGAATGAATAAAATTTTACTGTCATTTATAAAAAAAAAAACTAAAAATTTCAAATATTTTTAAATWACTTTCTCTGATTTTAAATATCWTTAAATTTTTTTCAAATATAGAAAATGTTGCATATTCAGCATTTATATTATATTATATTATACGTATACTGTTTATACTAACAATAATCATAAGTATCATATTACGATCGGTGGGGACTGTCCATCGGTTATTAACGAGTAGAACTATAATGTATGTCATTACGATTTATACTGTWAACAATAAATGTCTATATAATACGTTTATGTTATTATTTATATTAATAATACGTAACAGAAAAGGCATCATAAACATTCTGTGTAAATCTCATATTCTCATGTGTCTTCGGTAATTTGTTATAGTGTCAACAATATTAGAATTCGATTTTCTCAAAAATTGATTTTGCGTAAAAATTCCCGTTTTCCTTAATTTTTTTTTTTTTTTAATTTTTTCCGTTGATTTTTGAAAACTACTGGGAAATTCAAAATTTTACCAACTAGATTTACTTTTTAACCAGAAAATATAAATATTTTTTTTTCATTCAGTTGCAACAGTAATTTAAAAAAATGGATTTCTTTTAATAAATATGATGTACTGTTGTGGAATCCATGGTTTTGGGACCATATAATCAATTTTTTTCAGAAATCACTTTGACTGATTAATCAATGATTTACCTCCGTTGAATATATTATATTCAATTATTTACATTGAATGGTTAAGTTGGTTCATATTACTTCTTATTGTTTTATTAAAATAATAAAATGTGTATATTTCTAAAAAAAAAGCGGGTAAGTCGTGGATGTCGCTCTGCTGTACAGTACTACAATAGGTTACTGTAATGGATGGGATTAAATTTGAATGCAATGATAGGTATCATTGTATACGAAAAACGATTCTGAACGTAGATGATTTGTCAGTCTAGGATATATTATATTTAAATATTGTCATATATTCTATTTTGAAACAAATAAATTACTTTTCAATTAGGACGCATTTTGAATAAGGC